GGTATATATTTTGAATGCAAATGAATGCAAACGAGAAAATCTAATCCAATAGTGAATTGAGCTCTAAATAGTGTACAAGAGATTAACTATTGACTCGATCATTCAATAATCACGTTAAATTAATTTCAACCCTGCCCTCCCTCTAACCGGTGTTGATTATAATGATCAGTCAATAGTTAATCTCTTGTACACTATTTAGAGCTCAATTCACTATTGGATTAGATTTTCTCGTTTGCATTCATTTGCATTCAAAATATATACCGTATATACTCTCATAAAAACACCATGTAATATTATGTGAAATTCGGAAAAGGGGGGTAATCTTATCCAGGTAGCATTACCCCTATATTTAGGAGCATTATAGCATTTCATTAAAAACTCATACTATTGTACTTTATTGGATATGTGAGTCAAACACAATATACTGTACAAAAGTTTTAAAGTAGTCAACGATTAAAAAACGTTAACTTATATCCATTTCCTGTCATTCAATTTGAGTCATTAAATGTCTCAAAGTGTTAGTTTGTTTTCAAATGAAGACATGAGTGATAATATGATTGATAACGAAAAATCGCAAGAAATGATTGATTTTGCCGATAATTTCTCTGATATGAATATTTATTAAATATATTGTTTAAATTTTATAAACGATTTGCTATTTGAATGAATAAAATACGTTTGAATTAAATTTCACATAGTATTACCGGTAACTATATGTGAGTTTTAGTAATGGGGGGTAATCTTATCTAGGTAACATTATCCCAGTTTTGAAAAATCACATTTTCACTGGATTTCACATAATATTACCGGTGTTTTTATGAGAGTATATACGGTAATGATTTCTTTATAAATAGTTTTTTGTGACAAACTTTTCCCATCCATTGATTGATTGATTGTTTTTTTCAATGAGCTATTAATAGGTTTCTGTGTTTTGGGTTTCAATGAAAAAACTTTTATTTTGTATTTTGATGTTTAGTCGGAAAAGATGTATAGCGAGTCGACGACAAACGGTGGTCTCTGTAGCGGTGGTGCCGGCGATGGAGATGATCTCCACTCGCGGGCCATATTACGTGCAATAGTGGGCTATTTGGGTACCATTGAGACACCGGTGGACAGTCATATCGACGCCAATCTCATCAAAGACTGCATCCGACGTATAAGAGTGGAGAACAAACACCAAACGACCACTTTGTTAGCCATATATCAGGAGAGCATTCAATTGGTGAACATCAGGGGCCGTACGATCGCACAGTTCGCCGCCGATAGTCTCAAGTCGTGCGGCATTTGCGCCGACGACCAAAAGTACTTTGCAATCATCACTAGTGCGGCCATTACTGGCGCCGCTGACACCACCGCCTCCTCAGCGGAAAATAGTAATAGTAGTCATTCGTGTCATGTGTTCACTACCAGCGCGACCACACATCAGACCCATTATAAGACGGCACAAGATTTTGGTATTAAATGCACATCAGATCCCGTGACCACTCATTGTCTGGAGTTTCCGGGTATTGTGTTTATCGTAATAATTAGTTAATTAATATTTTTGACCCCAATTTTGTGTTTTACAGAAACATCTGATTCAATACTACGAGTGATTGTTGGCCTCTATCGGCATTCAGTCGGGTGCGCACCGTCGGCAATGGCGACAATTCCCGCGGCCGCCGCTGTCGCCGATCCCATTGGCGATCATAACAGTGGCAGTAATAGCGACAGCGGTATCACTGAGAATAGCCGATCGCCGGACGCTAACCATACGGGCGGACGTAATCAGTCCTANCGCGGCCGCCGCTGTCGCCGATCCCATTGGCGATCATAACAGTGGCAGTAATAGCGACAGCGGTATCACTGAGAATAGCCGATCGCCGGACGCTAACCATACGGGCGGACGTAATCAGTCCTATAATACCGAGCGATTGGAGGCTCAGCTAAACGCCGCTAACGTTCGGCAAACTGTTCACAAATACTTGAAATTAAATCACGATTTAAAGCAATTGTCAGCCTTTAACAAAGGCGGCCCACAAACCGATGCAGAGACCGTCGAGAGCAACGATTTACACAAAATTAATTGCAATAATATGTTAGAGTCGGAGAAACGCACAGCAAATACCGACAGGTTTACCGAATTTGGTCCGAATTTGCGGCCAAATGCCGTGCCATCCACTGGAAACGTATGCATTCAGTGATTGTTTGTTTTTAATAGTTATTAATCGTTTTGTTAATTACATTTGCAGATACGCTGTGACCCTAAGAGAGCTGTCATTATGCCCGCGACCCTATCCAAAGAGAACCTGGAGCTCAACAATGAGGTAATGGTTTGAATAATTGTCTGAAACGCCTGTCATTTGAATATTAATCGCTATTTTTCTAAATAAAGATCACTTCGGGCTATGATTTGGATACAAAATCGTCGATGAGCTTAGAGGGTATGCCACCGATGAGCGACACTGTGTCCGCCGCCAGCGCTAGTGTTGTGTCCGAACGGCCCATAGACGTGGTAGAGTGGAGAACAAACACCAAACGACCACTTTGTTAGCCATATATCAGGAGAGCATTCAATTGGTGAACATCAGGGGCCGTACGATCGCACAGTTCGCCGCCGATAGTCTCAAGTCGTGCGGCATTTGCGCCGACGACCAAAAGTACTTTGCAATCATCACTAGTGCGGCCATTACTGGTGCCGCTGACACCACCGCCTCCTCAGCGGAAAATAGTAATAGTAGTCATTCGTGTCATGTGTTCACTACCAGCGCGACCACACATCAGACCCATTATAAGACGGCACAAGATTTTTGTATCAAATGCACATCAGATCCCGTGACCACTCATTGTCTGGAGTTTCCGGGTATTGTGTTTATCGTAATAATTAGTTAATTAATATTTTTGACACCAATTTTGTGTTTTACAGAAACATCTGATTCAATACTACGAGTGATTGTTGGCCTCTATCGGCATTCAGTCGGGTGCGCGCCGTCGGCAATGGCGACCGTTCCCGCGGCCGCCGCTGTCGCCGATCCCATTGGCGATCATAACAGTGGCAGTAATAGCGACAGCGGTATCACTGAGAATAGCCGATCGCCGGACGCTAACCATACGGGCGGACGTAATCAGTCCTATAATACCGAGCGATTGGAGGCTCAGCTAAACGCCGCTAACGTTCGGCAAACTGTTCACAAATACTTGAAATTAAATCACGATTTAAAGCAATTGTCAGCCTTTAACAAAGGCGGCCCACAAACCGATGGAGAGACCGTCGAGAGCAACGATTTACACAAAATAAATTGCAATAATATGTTAGAGTCGGAGAAACGCACAGCAAATACCGATAGGTTTACCGAATTTGGTCCCAATTTGCGGCCAAATGCCGTGCCGTCCATTGGAAACGTATGCATTCAGTGATTGTTTGTTTTTAATAGTTATTAATTGTTATGTTAATTACATTTGCAGATACGCTGTGACCCTAAGAGAGCTGTCATTATGCCCGCGACCCTATCCAAAGAGAACCTGGAGCTCAACAATGAGGTAATGGTTTGAATAATTGTCCGAAACGCCTGTCATTTGAATATTAATTGCTATTTTTCTATATAAAGATCACTTCGGGCTATGATTTGGATACAAAATCGTCGATGAGCTTAGAGGGTATGCCACCGATGAGCGACACTGTGTCCGCCGCCAGCGCTAGTGTTGTGTCCGAACGGCCCATAGACGTGGGTTGGGTCGGCGGTTGGGCCCAAGACTTTGAGAAACTATTGTCCGACAGCGTTGGACTTAAAGCATTTGCCGTAAGACAAAATTAATTGCAATTGTTTTAGAGATTTTATTAACCATTTATTGTCTTGTTTTTTACAGGAGTTCCTGAAAAAAGAGTTTAGTCATGAAAACCTCCAGTTCTGGATGTCCTGCGAAAAGTACAAACTTATAACCGATCCCTCAGAGGTAGGCCACAGTCCCCGCCTCCCACTCAATAGAGCTGTTGTGGTGTTGTTTTACTAATTGTTTGATTGATTGTTAGATGAAAGCCGAGGCCAAAGTGCTATACGATCAGCACTTGTGTAACGGCGCTCCCGAACCGGTCAACATTGACGGACGGGTAAGACTGTTGGTGGAGACGGCACTCGACGAGCCGACACCCGCTCTGTTCACACCCGCGGAGAAACAGGTGCTTAAGAATTGAATGATGTTTTATATCTATAATTTGATTACTAAAACGAATGTCTTATTCCAATCACTAGATCTATAATCTGATGAAATTTGATTGCTATCAACGGTTCCTGAAGTCAGACATCTATAAGGAATGTGTGGCACTTGAACTGCAGGGCAAACCTTTGCCCTACGAATCCATGGACAGCGACCCTATGGGTGACGAGAATCGTTTCAAAGACACACAACTCAATACAATTAAACCGAAAAAGCGATCATTTATTCCGTGGCATCGGATTAAGTCGTCGAAAGCGGAGAAACAGGCGCTGAAACGGCTGAACGCCAAACAGACGTACGTTCGGTGCAAGTCGGCCGCCGGTGATCATCAAAGCACCGCCAGCGCCAGCAGTGCCAACAGATCAGACTTTACCGGCAGTCAGTCATCGTTGGCGACCAGCGCTGGCGAACAGAGCGCCACCGGACGACTCAAATCCATGTTTTCGTTGTCCAAATCGCGGGAATCGTTGAACACGACGATTACAGCGGCCAATACGGCCGCCACTATAGCCAACACACCGACATCGGGTGGCCATCACTGCCAGAACGATAACTGTCACCTGTTGTGCGTATTACTGCCCGATCGCTCCCAAACGGTTGTACCGCTGGTCGACGGCCAGACTGTCGGCCAAATGATTGAGCATTTGCTACAAAAGCGTGGATTGAATTACTCGGCGTTCGATGCGTTTGTCACCGGATCTGAAAAAGTGATTATAGATATAAATATTTATATATTTTCTAAATACCATTTACATTCGATAGGCATTGGATCCGAGCGTTAATGTCTCGACTCTGGGCTGCAATGAGTTACGCGTCGAACAGCGAGTGCTCTTTCAAATTGATTTCCCGAATCGTGAGATCATTGGCATCAAAGCGCGCACATCCAAGACCTGCGGCGATGTCTTCGGACCACTTCTGGCCAAATACGGGTATAAGTTGGAGCACATAGTCCTGCAAATTGTAAGTCAAACCTATTTGTTAAGAATGCGGACAATAATTGATTATTTAAAACATTGAAACTGAAGGCCAACTCATCGGAAGTGGTGACCAACGACTTGCCGATCGCACGGCTCGATAACCAGCGAATTATAGTCAGTATTAGCGACGATCTGGAAGAGTGGGGCTGGGATTGTACGTCCAGTCGTATGCCTGTGGCCGTTGACAAGTCTCGAACGACCGCCCAATCAGTGACCACCGCCGCCACCGACGACGAGAAACCCATTCGCATAATAAACGACTCATCCTTTGACTCACAAACAGCGGATCGTCTTAAGGATAGTCCGGAAAGAAACAACAGTTCCTCCGAGAAAGAGAATCGACTACCAGTGCCGCCGACGCCGTCCGTCGAGAGTCAGTCGCTGGCCGTAAAGGAAGTGCTGGCCGACAGTCGCCTCATGAAAGACTGCCAAAACATCAGTTTCAGCGACGACACCAAATCGGAACAATTCTTTCGGGACCTACTGCTGGCCTCACAGCATATGCCCACACAATCGCCCATCAATTCACTGAAAACCAGTGCCAAACCACTGCACGGGTCCGCACCGACGGCCACACCGGCCCTCAAACCCGTCATTAGACGTGCAATCAATAGTCAATACTATTCTAACAATAATAATAATGCTATGAATATTAATAGCGTTTCAAAGGATATGGATTTGAGTTTAACGACATGTGAATTGTCGCCAATAGAGGTGTCGCGGGCACTGCCACCCATCCATCCCACTTACCGGCCCCCACAACACACCCCACAACACACCCCACAACAGCCCGCAATCCTTAACGATATCGATTTGGACGCCACACTCAAGAGTATACAGATGTATAACATGCGAAATACGGACAAAACGCTTAGTCCGTCGGCCATACCGTACCCGCACAACCACACACTGACCGTAGACGCTCTGCTCGACGTGTCGGCGCCCGACTTCACGCCCCCACCGCCCGTCCGAACGATGCCATTGAATAATAGACACTACAAACACCCGGACCTGTCGCCCAACGCACCCCCTCTGCCGCCTAAACCCTTTGGCCACAGCCGTGGAGACCGCGGACCACCGCCCCGACCGCCCAACGCTCGGCATATGAGTGCCAATCAAATGAATGCAAACAACTCTTATGTTCGAAGTTTGGATAAAACTATTGATTCCAGTGTTATATTTGTTTAACCATTTATTTTAAGAATTATTTATATATCTCTTATAGTGAACACTCGCCTGTAGTGTACAAAGTATTATTGAGTTTTATAGCGAGTGTTGACTGTATTAACAATACTAATCCATTGAACGAAACAAAGTTTGTATGAAATTATGTACAAAACATTTGACGTGAAATTCTCATTATTTTTTATATGTTTTGCTTTTTATAATATTTTACATTTAAATAGTTTTCTATTATTTTCTAAGAGATTTTTAATTGTATTTTAAAATTTTATAAATCGTATCATTTGTAGTATATTTTTCAATTATACTGACATTGGATTAAAAACAATCAAATATTGACTTCATTGATATATTTTTATAATGATTAAATATTTAATACATGAGTGAATGATGAAAAGTATATAAAACTATTGTCAATCAAAGGACTAATTTACTTGACGTACGGATACAAGAATTAAGAATATTTACAAATGAAAACATTTTCTCCTTTTAGAAAAAAGTGTTTGAATTTTAACACAATTATTGATGCGATTCTTGAGAGCAGTCGGTGTATAGTCTTCACTGCCATTGAGTTTAATTGTCTGTAAATGTTGGCAAACAATTCAACACATTATCATTTGTGGAAAGCGTTAAATATAAAAGTCGAGCAGGGTCCATTTGCGCGAATTGATGTGATGACATCACCACTACCTTAAAGCCCATTCCCTCCAGTAGTCGGATGTAATACACAACCGACCCTTTGATACGAGTGTCGGTCACAGAGTAGTCGTTGTTATCCAAAACACAAATGGCTTTACAATCGGTAAACATATAGGCTTTGAGTACTGTTTCGGGAGTTAACGAAAAGTTTCGGTGATTTTCACTCATTATCACAACAAACGGATGGCTTTTGATGGGAAGGATACGAAACAATTGGACTCTTTGGCCCAATTGTTGCCTCAAACGCATGCATTGTGTCTAACAATTTGGGTTTTCTGCTGATCTGATTAACGGGCACTTCCTCTTCAGCGACAATCTGTCGGTGATAGCGATAAACCTCTTTCGGCTCCAGAAGAATGTCATTAAACTCTTTGAGCCTTTCGATTGATAATCCAGTGTTTACGGCGAGTAAATCCCTTATGAAATCAGAATTTGGTATTTTTGAAATTCTGATCACAAATTTGCGTTCAAAACAAAATCGATGTAATTTGTGATAAAACCCCAAAATTGCCAAATAGTGTACAATACTTAATATATGCCCCGAGTGTTCATCTAATCCAAAATAATGGGCGTTTATGTA